GCTTTGTTTATGTTTACAAAAGAACAGACTAGACACTGGTAGAAAGTCACAGAGCTCTGTTGTGGGTCTGTGTGATGACTTGAGGTTGGCACTGTGATGATTCCAAATCACTTTGCATATCAATTGACTGTGTTGTGTTGTCATCTTAGGACTTTGTCAATATGGAAGGTCATTAATTTAAAATGGAGGGTGAGAGCTGCCAGGGTCTTCATTTTTACTTTGTTCTTGAATGCATACATCTGAGACTGATGGAGTGTTCTGTCCCAGTGTGAATTACCAATAATATGACAAAACAGTATAAATGCTACTAAACTGTTTAATTGTCAGTTTTCCCCTTTAATTGTAATTGACACAAACCTCCAAAATATGAGTCTGATCAGAGCTGACATCCAAAAGCAACATCCAGTGAAAAGTGAGAGTGAAATATACTGTAAAACACAGGAGTTTATTTTCCAAAAGAGAGTATGGGCCACACAGTGAGCTGTGAAAGGTGAATATCTAAGCAGATGGTACTCCCTGTAATCCATGCATACTATGTTTATTTTGTCCAAAGGGCCACTAGTCTCAGGAGGTCAGCTATAATATGTACACCAGGACAGCTACACCAGGTTTTGGTTCAGATCTGTGACAGAACAATTACACAGTAAACTGTGTTCTTAGTGCTCACAGGCTCCCCTCATTTTTGGCAAAATTTTGTTTGTGAATTGTGATTTCTCTCAGCGTTCATTAATAATAGGTCTCTGTGGAAGCCATTTCCCCCCAGAAATAAAGAAAAGAAGAAGAAAGTTGTAAAAAATATAACCAAACAAACGCCTTATGTCTCTTTGCTCGCTCCTCCCCAGAATCTCTGGGCTATGAAAATTACAGCATTTCTGCCAGGAAATGAAAAAAAGGAACAGTTAGTCATGATTAAAAGCTCATGATGCCAATTTTTTTAACTTAAAATGAACAATTTATCTTAACTTATTTTTCATTAACTGTTTTCTTTTTTTGTCACAAATGGGCCTCCATATTGTTGCCATTTCCCTGAAGATATTGATTCAATGAGAAAATAAATTCAGGTACTGATATACCTTGATAATAAGGGACCTTGAGAAAATTTGTATAAAATCTTTGTGTGTAAAACGAATTAACACACCCTCTTCTTAGGATCAGTCTGCTGTGTCTCCTGAGTCCTGTCATTTCCTAAAGAAGTTAAAAAAAAGGATAAAAGCTCAGGTGAGGTTGTTAAAAGTTGTCTTTTGTTTGAAATATCACAGCAGGTAAAGCGAGCCAGATGAGCTAGGAGCACAGAGTGTTTGTTGTGTAGTCGGGCATGAGCGTGTGTGGTTTTGTTTGCTCTTTGTGGTTGTTTGCAGCACGTTGATGGACACACTGCATACAGCCCCACTGCATGCGGTAAACAGGCCTCATGCAGAGTATGTGGACAAGACTAAAATTAACTCTGATTGCAATACCATAAAGGCTGAGAGCCTCATTTGGTAACAGCAAAGGTAATATCATATGTTATGTTCTGATGCCAGTATATAGACACAGAGTGGTGTTGCAGATATGCTGTTAAACATTTAAACAAAAGGTTAAATCTAGACACCTTAGTGTACAAATCCAATTGGTTCATGCACCCAGATATGTGGATTGGGTATTTCTGCTGAATAATGGGCAGCAGAGCCTCACAGGGATGCTAGCATTGCTATTAAAATGTATTCTTCTTGTTTTACACTAAGCTATTGGCCTGAAATATTTTATGCAGACATCCATGGTCCCAAAAGAGAAGCCTACTGGTTTTAACGATCCATGATTTTTTTGTCTAGTGTCACCATGAGGTTGACTTTTTTGTGTTTTATTGAACTCTCTCAAACTGTTGAATGAATTGCCACAGAATTAGGTAAGAACATATTCCCAACACTGGAATGCTTGGAAGGCAGCATGAGACATTCCAGAGTAATATTTCTGAGATGGCATCATGTCATGACACAGAAACCTGCAATGACATGTAAAGCTGAGCTTAAGCTGCACTCGGGCCCTGAGGAGAAAACGTGCTGCAGAGAGTCCATACAGTCACAATTCAAACACGCCAAAGGCTGACTCAGTGAAGTCGCATCAGAGGGGTGTGTTGTTTCCGGCTGCGTGTTGGAGTATTAGGTACATTTCTACAATTATGTACCCACTCTACTCTCAGGCACACTGCTGCTCTATTATGTGTTCTAATCTCACTACAACAGTCATGTCCCTGGTGTATTTATGACACACCTGAATGACGCAGTTTTCTTGGCAAAACTCCTGGGACACAAAAGGTAGGGGAGACAAAGCATGACGGGGCATTATGCATTCTTCATCTTGTTGTGACACGTAGCCACATACAGAGAAAATTATTTTCTACGTTCGGTCCACGAAATAGTGCACATTTGTGAATGTAGCACAGAACCAACTTGTGACTGATTTGGGACAACGTTGAGCGAGAAACGTGTAGTCACTGTTTTGTTTTTTTCCTCTGAAAGCTTCTTCCTCACAAACTAACAAAACTGGATGAAACGTAACAATAACAACCTGACTAAGGTCAGTGTGTTCATGCCTTGAGAAGAAACCAGAAGGAAGAGCTACAGATGTGTGTCTTGTCACAGTGCCCCGGCATTGCCACCTGGCAGCTGCCATTAGGCCCTGTGCCATGTTGGCTCTGGGTGGGCAGGAACAGCAGATGCTCCTGCCTAACTGTGCTCTGTTAAAATACCCACACATAATTTAGTTTGAACACAGAGCAGGGAGATGTGTATTGTTATGTCAAATTTAATCTAAGAAACAGTACATCATTAGATAGCAGTGATCTGAATAATTGTAAATCATATTGTAAAACAAAAGTGCCTGTTGATATGTTTAATTAGACACTCAATCTTTCTCAGTCAACCAATTGAAATGAGACCAATAATATCTCTCCTGTTAGATGGAGTGAATTAAGAAGAATCTGAAGGCGCTGATAAGCTTGCTTGATCTCAGCAAGCCAAAGCCATAATAAAGAAAACAGACTTTTGGAGCCAGGGCTTTTGCAGTAACCACACATTTGTGTGTTTCTATGACAGAGAAAGAGAGAGAGAGAGAGGTATCCACACACAGACTGCTGCATTGGTCAGCTCTAGGTATATCTGATCTGTTTACAAGTTCATCTGATGCTGGAGTTAGTACTGACATCTGATACGATAAGGCACATTTGTCAAAAGAGTCTAGGAGTTCTGACACTTAAGTCTTATACTGTTTAGTTTCAGTTTTGTATACCTGGCTTTGCTTTACTCATTTTTCTGTGTTATTCTTTTAAATTCTTGTTGTGATCTAATTATTTTAGCATTTTACTGTTTAGTCTTATGTTACACTGAAGCACTTGGTAATTGTTTGGAATAGATCTCTATATATAAAAAGTTATTTAGTCATGAGGTTTCAAAAGAACTGAGAGGTTCACCTTTGCTGTCTTGCCTCTTGCAGCTATACAGGAAGGTAAATCAAAAGACAATCATCTACCAGCAAATGGGAATTTATTTGGGATTTATCTAATATTAGAAATTTGACTAGTAATTTGTACCTGACATGGTTTTTCATAAAAAGTGATTATCTGGTTAAAGATTTTTGAAAGCAGGTCTAATTCTTCTCCCTTATTGAAATAAATACAGACATAATGATTATGGAAATGTTTCTTTTCAAGACTTTAACATGCAAGATAATGCCTGCATCACTAAACAGTCTATTCTAGAGGCTTCATGGTTCACATCACACTTTTGTGAGTTGGGTTTTGGACCATGACCAGCTTCCGAAACCTATCGTTATATCACAAATCTTGCTTGCTTGTCCACATCTTAAACTCAGATTTAAGGAGGGTGACATTCTAACTAGATTATATGAACATACGTTTTTCCAGTGGCTGTACAAATCTTTGTTGCTTAGTATTTCATTATTACAATTATGACAAATTATGGTAAGTTTGAGCTAAGAAAACCCAGTTTTCAATTATTCCTTTCTAAACACCAAGCCATAGCTAACCTTACATCAGCTTCATACTGCTGTGTGCAGCGTGATACTGTGTATACTGTTCCCTCATTCTGAAAATGGTGTTCTGCAAAAATAATAGTAGGTCCTGAGTGACGTAACTTTCCTGTGGTATGCATCTTTCTCTGTATCATTTGGTCTTTCTGCTGACTGTGGCCTGAAATGACCCTCTTGACTGCTACTTACAAAAAAAGGACTTTAATGTGATTTTGAATGAAAAAAGGAAAGAAGAAAAGCCAAACAGTCAGCATAATCTAATGAGACAGAGTGTGAAAGGAACTAAGTGGATAACTGAATGCAGAGCAAGTTTGTGGGTGGGTGGGTTTGTTGCTGGATGAAGTCAGTGATATTTCAGCATCCCTCGGTGGTTAGCCTGCTGACAGGGAGGGGGAAAAAAACTAGAAAGCAAGAGACAAGGAGGGAGGTGATGTGTGTGGGGGCTGAGTGGGTGGGAGTGTCAGTGTGCTAGAAATTAAGCTAGCGCCACCATATTCAACTGTAGGATATTTACAGTATATAAAGAAATCAGAGAAGGGCAAGAGAGGAAGGACAAAAGCAGAGTCATTATTTGAATATCAGTCCCCCAGCATGTCTGCACAGGTACAGTTTGCATGTTGGGTTTTCAGTCAGAGCCCCAGGGCAGGTGGGGTAAAGTGGGGTGGGTTGAAATAGTCATTTTCATGGTGCTCTGGGTGTGGCTGCTCTGGGAACGGGACTTCTCTCAACAGAGATCTTTCAGCACAGGTCACACATCTGACCTTGTGCAGGACACAAAATCCTACTGTGGTCACACATACCAACATTCAGGTTTTTTCACTTCATAACCACAAAGAACTGATCTCATGCAAAATCAATAACTTTATGTTGTGTATAATTAATGATATTAATTTTATTGTTTCATGTTGTGTGTGAAACAACCAACAATATGGCTTCAATTGTTTTATTATTGTGTAATAATTCAGTTTATAGCAAGTTACCCACATTTAGATCATAAAGAGTTTGTATAAGAAGCTTTTTTCAAAAGGTAGAATAAATCTGCAAGAAAACATTTGCTACAAGATCATAAGTGTAGCTTTAATTCTCCACTAACAGCAAATGCTTAACTGGGAATCTGAAATGGAGCTGGTGTCGGTATGCAGAGAGCAAATCAGTAATGTGATAATGGTTTGGATGTGAAACACTAGACAGGGAAATCGGAGTTGTGATGGACTCAGCCTCCTTGTCCCTCCACCTCAGCTGACATGCGAGATTCTTCTGAGGCCTGTGGGTCAACACCGGCCCAGTGTGGTCAAGACTTATCACATAATCATCAGAACACCAATCCTCTTTTTAACAAACTTTATTTATAGTTAAAGCAGAAAAAACAAGTACAGACTCATATTAAACAAGAAATACAAACACTTACACATAGAAATATAAACAGAATTTCTAGAGAAATGTGCACACACACACACTCACACACATACATTCAGACATGCATGCCAAAAGGGGGCTCCCTAATGGAACAGGACATCCTGAAACTGCCAAGAAAAACACTCTCCAGGCCAGTGAGCCATTCTAGTGTTATCCAGTGATTTTTGCATTTATGATCAGGAAAAGGGTTTAACCTTTTTCTCTATTTGAGGAAAAATGATCTCAAATAAATCTGAGGCTTTGCAGCAAGAATTAAATCAACTACTGGTCAAGTAACGATTTTCAGCTTTTTATAATTAGCTCTTTGTGCCCACCCCCCCAAAAAGAGAGTTGCTCCAATATAATGCACTGCCCTACAAAAAGTGTGTATTGAGCAACAGAAGAAAGTTCTCTGTTTAAAAAAAGGAAGTGTAAAAAGGAAGGAGAGCTGGGTGAGTACTGTGTGTGCTGTGTCACAATGTGATGTGTTGCAATAAGGTGTGTGCTCTCTGGATTCTCTGGAAAATCAAGACAACAACCCCCCGCCACACACACACACACACACACACACACACATATATATATACAGAAGTATCCCACGTTATTGATATCACTACATCTGCTTTTGCAAACATATGAAAACACAGTTCCCCACATAAAACCCCTGACAGACGTCAGCAGAGGAAATACACAGTACAGCAATGTCTCCGACGTTTCATAGGCGGTTGGGATAAAGGGAAGTGACATCGCAGCACACACACCTCAAAATGGGAACTGAAGCTGAGACAATGTGATTAACAGAGAGAAGACAAAACAGTGTGTTGTCAGATGAAAGAGCCCGAAATGTCAGACAGCCTACAGACTGTTGTCGCCTTGCAATCTAACAGCCAACACCAGTCTGATAAGCTATGTGACAGGCCGAGAGTGACGGACATGCCTGAGACGTACGCATGTACAGAAACGACAACAATGAAAAAAAGAAATCCTAAGCCTACTCACCGTGACAGGAGAAAAGGGGAGATGTGAATGTTCCGAGCAGAGCTGGTGCAGAGCTCTGGGTTAAAGTGGCTGAACAGTACCCCTCTGTTTTGAATCTACTCGAGTGATTCGTCTCCTGGCTCCGTGACTGGAGCAGTGCAACGAGTTCATTGGAAGGTTCAGCTGAGGTAAAGGCACAGACGCCTTTCGCTGGTCGCCCTCCCCCTTCTGCCTCCCCCTTCTGCTCCTGCTCACTGCCCACTGCGCTCAGTCCAGCGTAGCACAGCAGCGGCACAGACAGGGAGAAGAAAATAGCACATTTTACTGGCAATTGTGGGGAAAAGGTATTGCATACATGGAGAGCCAGCTGACGTTATTCGGCGAGCAAAAACAAAAAGCGCCGGGAGCTCCCAGTGTCATGTCAAACACGAGCTTTCTGTCCTCATCACGGGGTTTAAGAAGCCATGAAAACACGTGAAGACAAAGAGAAATGCTTACAACGATACAGGCGTCTCCAGGCAGACTACTAGTCTAATAGTGAAGCCCAATCTGCTTTAATCCACGAAAAGAGAGCAACAAATGTGTGGCAGCCAGGAAACGACCTACAATCTGTGGCTCACACCGTCTGATTCAATATATGGCTGCATCTGGTAAAGTATCCCCAGGCACACTCATGTGCTCTCTTCCTGGAAGCACAATAATAAGAGCAGACAAAGGGACCAGCAGGGTGATTCAGTGGCGATTTATCATTTTCATCCCAAAGTGCCAACATGAGCTTTACTGCATACACAGAAGTGGTCACCTACCGCACCACGAACAGTCAGAAATATCCATTATCATCTCTTCTACAACTGACCTATGTGCTCTACAATATGTAGAAATGAGGAGGACACAGCTGTTGATAGTCACTTCATAGTCTTATCTAACCACAACCAATACTGCACAACAACTCTTAACAGTAATATACACAGAATAGCTCAGTAATGAACTAGCAAATATATATAATAAACAAATAGCTTTGTGCTGGTTTCACAGATCACTCACCACATAATCAAAGCTAACAATCTGAGCTTATTCAAATAAATGAATTCAAGTGACTGTATGCAGATATAAGACTGTGAAGGTTCTTTCAGTGGAACAAACAGCACAGCTAAACCCTCACTTAGGTGAATTATCGCCAGCAGCTTCTCACATGCTCAGGAGCTGCTATAAGCACCAAATGGGACACTTTAACAACACAACATCTTAGACAGAGTCACACGCAACCCAATAAGCATATACCTTACAGAGAGCAATCGTGGAAATCACTGCCAAATGTAAAGCCTTACTTAAAAAGCAAGTAAATAGAAGTCCAAAGTTTAACATCAACATGTTGCTACAATAACAAGAGAGAAACCAGATGGAGGCTGATATTTTGCTTTGGATAATAGTGAGGTATCAGCCAGGCGGGAGAGCAGCATGAGAAAAGGAGTGGTGGGAAGAGGTTGATGGTTCTCTGTGATCACTAGCTGGCCTTCACTCCATCTTGCCCTGAGAGTGCTTCTCCTGCTGCTTGTGCTTGGCATAGCTCGGGGCCATGGCGTTGACAATGGAGCAGACAAAGAAGCATACCATCATGACCACAACCTTCTCAAAGAGCCACGACAGCCATTTCTCCTCTTGCCAGGATCCACAGAGAGAACAGAGAGAGTAGACGTCAGTAAGCCGAGGGCCACCCCTCCCCTTCAATCCAACACCCTGCTCTCCGCTCTGCTCCTGCTGTAGGATAGGTGGGGATCCAGCTCCATGTGTAGGACAGATAGAGATCAGGGGTAATAAAACACACGGCAGCCCCCACCTTCCTCCCTCCTAATGCCCCCAATGACCCCAGCCTGCAGCCTGCCTCCACCAAGTTAAATTGCCTCTCTTCTCTAACTGCAGAAGGCTCAAGTTACAAGAAAAAAGGAACATTGTTCTAGAAATGCCTTAATCTGTCCTTGTGTAACTCAAAGTTTATCCTTTTTTCCTTCTCCCCACTAGTAAGCACATAAAAAAAGAAAAATTGTTTTCAATGAATCACTTAGAGCAAGAGAGACAGAGAGTAAGAAATAAAGAGGAGGGGGGGGGGAAAGCTCTGAAAGGTCTACAGTCAGTGCTGGGTTCAGGCGAGGCACCGAGTGCAAGTGTGTGTGTGACACATAGGGGAGTGACCACACTCACACACACACTCCCAGTTGGTAAGATGGAGCATGAGTCAGCACACCCCACGCTACCGTAGTACAGTTCAATACAGTGAGTGGAGCCAGACCCCCCCCCCCCCACCAGCCTGCCCAGTGCAGTGTTAACCTACTTTGTCATTCTGGCCCTAAACACTGTAATCTTCTGTAGCATCACAGCAAAATCTGGGATATAAACACTTCTCTTACAAAGATTAAGCTTAAAAATACTATATGAAATTGATTAAAATGTTAATTGAAAGCAAAAGGCACTGGTGAAAGACAGAAGTAATTAGCAAAAATGTGTTAGAGGTAGAACAGAAGGCTTAGATAAAGAGAAGAAAGGGACACAAAACATGGAGGGAGTGAGAGTGAGAGAGGCAAATGTAAGGGGACCACATTCTTTTCTTGGCACACACACACATGAATTAACAGAGGCTGTGAGCTTGGGGGCTGAGGTCCCTGTACTTACAGTTGGGATCCCCTCTCCGGCGCCATGGTGCAGCTTGGCCTCCTGGGCCTCCAAGTACTCCCTGAAGGGCTTCTGCAGTGCCGCACCCAGCAGTGGAACAGCTCTGCCTCCACCAACACAGAGGGGGTGGGGGGATTGTGTGGTTGTGGG